ATAAAAAAAATCAAATAAAAATTTTTATAATACAATGAAATTCAAAATTAAATAAATAAAGTGAAGTCCAATAACTAAAAATAAAATAAATCCAAATAAATGAATTTTATATAAAATAAAAATTAAAAAAATAAAATAAAGACTAAAATATTTTAATAATAAATAAAATAAAAATAAATTAATTTAATTAAATAAAAAAAATAACAATAAATAACAATATTAAAATAAATAATTATATAGTAAAAATATCAAAGAAAATACTATAAAAAATAATAAAAAATAAAATAGAACGAAGTAATTAAATAAAAATAAAAATAAAAATAAATAAAATAAATAATAATAAAATAAAAAAGTTAAAATTAATAAAATAAAATAAACTAAATTAAATAAAATAAAAATAAATGACAAAAATTAAAATGAAATGTAGACTAAAAAAATTTATTTAAACTTAAATTAAATAATATAAAATAAAATAAATCAATGTAAAATAAAGCACAACAAAATAAAAATTTTATAAAAAAATATTATAAAAAAATTAAAATAAAATCAAATAAAATAAAATAAAATAAAATAAAATAAAATAAAATAAAATAAAATAAAATAAAATAAAATAAAATAAAATAAAATAACATAAAATAAAATAAAATAAAATAAAATAAATTATAAAAAATAGAATAAAAAATCAAATAATATACGAACATAAGAGATTATACGCTGATTTGTCAGAATAAATTTACTAAATTTCCTTTGTAATTTGTATAGGTCATCAAAAGTGTATGCCATGAGAGCAATTTTTTGATTACGATAAATATAAAATTCACTTCTTAAAACTAGTTTCAATGAAAAGTTTATACGAAAAAAAAATTAATTCAAAATAGTAAATAAAAAATAGTGAAAAATGTAAAATAAATGGCATAAAAACCATATGAAAAAAAAGAAATTATAAAAAATAAGCTTAAGTGAATATATTAAAGGTTAGAAAATGTTTACACATTCACACACACACATATACACACATTAATTTAGTAGGAAAAAATGCAGCAATTAATATAACATTTATTGCAAAACTGCTGTAATATTGCTAAAAAAAATATTATTTACAACATATTAATACTATTAAATAAATAAAAAATGTACGAAAATGCAAGTTAAGTAAAAGAAATGAAATAAAAATTTAAAAAAAAAAACGAAATTATTATAGAAACCATAAAAGTTATGGTAATTAAGATATGGTATGGCATGAAGTCGAAAAAATGTATTTACGCAAAAAATGAAAATAAAAATAATAATATGAATAAAAATAAGAATAATTATTATTATTGAATTGTATTAATATAAATATATATTATTATAACATTTATTATTATTACAATGAGAACCAAAAAAAAAAAAATGGCGAAATAAATAAATAAAGATTTAATAAAAAAGAGAAATTTTGTTGTTTGAATTTGAGTTACTTTTTTCATGTTTGAAGGGAGATTTCTACGGGGAAGTTAGAATTCTCGTCTTCGCCCGCATCGAAGCAAGTTGAATCAACATGAAAAAATTGAGTTAGAAGTCTATAAATATATTAATAGAGAGAGAGAGAGAAAGAGAGAGAGAGCAAAAAGTTGCCTGTTATTTGTTTGCCACTTCACACTCTCTCCGCCCTCACTACTTCCGCCATTTGAATTAGCCAATAATCCAATTTGGATGTAAACTAGTCATTTGGGTATTTCCCAAAAGAAAATTTAAAAATTCTCATTACATTTTAATCATCAAACAAGTTTATCATCCAATCGGAAGTTATTAAAATATATTTTTTTTTTTTGGAAAAACATAAATCATCATCAGCCGCCGCAAGTGGAAAGAAAAAAAATTCCCAAACGCACACGAACTTCCACAATTAATTAAGCATTTGCGCATACCACAACAAACATTGCACCCTTTCCGATGCGTCGGCAGCGCTGCAGCGGCGTAGGCCTTGTCAATTATATCGCTGGTATTAGCCAGCTCTCAGCTGTCGTCGACACACTTCAGCTTTTAATTGTCGCAAAACAACAACAACAATAATAATAAGACTAAAATTGAGAATACAAAACAAAACGAGATGCAACAACAACAACAGCATCATCATCAACAACAACAACAACAACAACAACAACAACAACAACAACAACAAATATGAGCATAAGTGACAATAACAACAACAAAAACAACACCAACAACAACATCAACAACAACATCATCAACAACAACAACAACAACAACATCATCATCAAAGAAAATGACAGTCAGAAAAATAGCAACAACAACAACAGCAACAACAATAAAATCAAAATGCATGGAATTTTGCACACAAGCGGAATGCATTTACAAAAGCCACAAAAAAACTAGTTCTTCACCGCACAACAATAACAAAAACGAACTCATAATGATAATTGATTAATCAGTGAACCTTATTCCGGTATTTAGAATTGCCTGTAATTTCGAGAATTTTTATATTTTTTGTTTTTATTTTTCAATGAAAAGTGACTAATACGAGTAAGCCCACACGCGTTCTCCGAATCTGTATGGGAATAATATTGTAATTTGCTTAAATTGGATTTTGGTCAATAACATTTTGATGTCAAGTGTTTGAAATTTTTAAAATTATTATTACATTTTTTTTTTTAATTTCAAACAACCGTTTTCAACGAAGTGTGAGTTCACAGGTCAAACGCCGGGATTTGTTTCGATTTTTTTTTGAATTTTTTTTTAAATTTTTTTTTTAAATTTTTTTTTTTAATTTTTTTTTAATTATAAATTATTTCAAGCGCGGGATTTAAGTACAAATAAACTGAAAGACAAATGAAAATGTAGCTCATGCAAGCCGTTATCTACTAGAAAGTTCAGCCATGTAGAGATTTCATAGAGTAATATCTGCGAAGATCAGAAACTACAAGCCTGCTGAAACACCAATCACAGGACCCTTACGGTAAACCTCCCGACGTCGACAGAGCATCACTTGCACAGCGAAGCAACTGTGCTACGAGTTAAGGAGCATAATGTTTTGAGGTGCGGAGCTATCCCCGGTGATATGCTACCGAAGGGACTACTCCATCAGACACTTACTAGATGTCGAACCAACAACTAGGCACATCAGAGAGGGAGTACTCGACTTTAAGAGCTGCATTCAGCAGCCCTGAACAAGATGGCTTACCGACAGTCTTCAAATGCCATTTACCGAGATTCGGAGTCCGTCAACACCCTCCTGAACTCTTTTCCAGTGAATGGTATTCTCTGAGTCAAACTGTCGACAATTGCAGACGAAAACTCGAGCTGCCACGAGAGTCTCGCGTAATACGGGCGCAGCCAATAACTGGATATAGTAGTCGACTAAACGTCTACTCGTACAGACTTGACCCCAACATATGTATGTCTTTGCGTGCCGCCCTAAAACCAACTGATCCAACCCCCTTTCCCTCTGTTCTGAGCCCGTCGAAACACCTCATTTCCTGAGCGTTCCGATGAATTACATCGATGACTTATACTCCTCTTGGCTTCTGGGAGCAAGGAGCAAGGAACGGGGTTCGAGAACTGGTACAAAAACAACAACAACAACAACAACAACAACCACTGAAAACCCCTATAGCCTATCCACCCCAAGTGTGTGGTATTTTGTCCATAATAAGTACCCCTAAATTTTAGTTTCCTCATTCTCCACACAAGCCCTGCAAAAGTTTTAAGCGGTACTCATATCATGGAGTTGAAGGAACTACTCCACCATTCACCTTCATAAGCTCATTATCCCCCACAGGATCCGAGTGATTAGCAGTGCGTTCTAAAATATGACAGATCTTGAGTTCGAGTGGTAGAAAATGAGTTGTGTTCGACCCTCAGTTACTTCCACAGTTATTGGAAAGATATCAAATGCAAAGCCAGTATTGACAAGTGCTCGGCCGAAAAACGCTTCATCGATCACAAAATCCCAATAATATTCATAAGGAAAACCGCAATAGGCGAAAAGTGCGGGTTCTTTTTCTTATTCTATGGAGTTTTCGCATAGTGGAAGTCGCTAAAAAGACAATATCCCTAGCTCGGCTGACTACTTGACTTTGGAATTAAAGCTACCCTTTCCACAGAATCTTATGATCGAGTGGAGATTAATAAAGGATATTGCGTCCTTTCACACAGCTTAGACCATAGCTGTTGTTGTTGTAGGGGTTCGCTAATCCCACTTAGGAGCAGGCTAGATCAGTCTAAGTCACGGAGGTCATCTAATAGGTGTTAGATGAGTTGATTTTAGGTCAACCAGTAACATTAGACTATCATAGCTCTTCATTGGAGGGTGTTGGAAATGGAGTCCAGATCCTACTAAGTCCTCTACACAGCGCTACCACAAGTAAACCAAGCTCCACGCTAAACATAATTTCTACTTCACAACCGTCGCCGACGACCTTTCAGTTCAAAAATAAACAAATAACGTAATTAGGGCAGAGATTAAACATTTCCGAATAAGCTCCAGCACAACGCTTACGATAAGCTTGGACTTGAACTTGGTTTATCAACACACAAATATGTGTGTGCGCAAGTGAGACTTTCACACTCAAATGAAAGCGAAACCGTTGTCAATGACCGATTACCGGCAAACAATGGATGCGCAACGAAAAGTCAACAGCATCTGAAGCGAAGCGAAGCTGAAGTGATTAACCGATGCGAATAATCGAAGCAAAAGTGATGTTCGGGGGGGAAGCAAAAACAAAAATTTATTCCGCAAACGCAACAACACAAACGGGGTGATTAACGAGGCAACTGTTAAGAAGGAGAAGAAGGAGAAGAAGAAGAAGAAGAAGAACAAGTATAAGACGACAACTAATTTCATTTCGTACGGCGCACCCAGCGCGAGGGGCGTGTGTGCGGGTGTAACAACAGCAGAATAACACCAAAGAACAACCGGATGACGACCACTTCCGATGCGCTTTTGATTTGTATAAAAAGTGCCAAACTCAGCTGGATTCTACATCAGTCGCTCACTTACCGTTGTGCGTTCGCAAACTCAGTTCGAGAAAATAATTACAAGTGATTAATTATAGAGCATAATTTGCTTCAAGTTTTCAGTTTTTGGGAAAGGCAAGAAAATAAAATTAAAAACAAAATGAAATTCTACGTTTGTGTTGTTGCTGCTTTTGTGTTTGTTTTCGCCAGTTTGTGCGCTGTGAGCGATGCCCTGGTGGCACGCGCCCAATACAAAAATTCAGGTGAGTTTTGAGTGATCAAAGGCCTTGAGAGAGATGATGGTGGTGGTGGTGAAAAAAATAAAAAAAATATAAAAGAAAAAAAGGAAAAAATTAAAAGGAAAAATATAAAAGAAAAAATTAATAAAAAAAATTATTAAGTTAAAATTAATTTTATACTTATTTTTGATTTAAAGAAATTAATTAATTTTTATATTTAGAAAAAAATTTTTTGAAAAATATTAATTAATTGAATACAATTTTTTTCAATTCTTCTTGAGGAAAAATTTTACATTTTAATTATTTATTTCATATTTTTTTTATCAAAAATAAAACAAACTCGTTAGCGTTTAACTTAATTTAAAAAAAATGTTTATTTTAATTTTTTAGCAAGAATTAAAATGAGAGAAAAAAAATAATAATAATAAAAATAAAATAAAAAATAATTTAAAATATGTATGTGTGTTTAACATTACTCTCACATATTTCCATTGATAATTGTATAAAAAATTTAAAAAAAATTAAAAAAAAATTTAAAAGAATACCTATAAATTTTTTTTATTATTTACTAAATTTTTCTTTTATTCTTTCTTTAAATAAATAATTAATGCCTTTAAGCATTTGTTATTAATACTTTAATAAATTTTTAAAAAAATATATTCATAACCAATAAGTATATCTGCATATTCAAAAGTATTTGGAAAATTTTTGGAAATCCTTCTATAAATTTAAAAAATATATATATTTTTTTTTTAATTTAATTATTTTATTTTTTATTAACTTTTTATTGAAATAAACGAGAAATAATTCATTGCACAATTATTTTTTATTGATGTTGAAAAGAATTAAAAGCAATAATTTTGATTATATTTTTTCCCAAAATTATAAAAAAATTACTTTTTTTAAAATTTATTTATAAAAATTTTTCAAAAAATGTTATTTGTGCATTTGCATTTCTTAAACTTGTTTGACGTATATTTAAAAATATTTTTTTAAGTTTTAAAATAATTTCTTTAAAAAGTTTGCTGACATAAAAAAACAAAAAAAATAATTTTTAACAAGAGATTGTTGAAATATTGCAAAAATTCCATATAAAAATATAGGATTATTTTTAAATTTTTAATTTAATTTTCACGCAAAATTTAAGATTTTTTATTCTTGATTCAACAAAAAAAAAATAATAACAATTCGTTTTTCTATTCGGAAAATTTAAAAAAAAAATTATTTATTTTATATAGAATATTTTTTTTTTTAATAAAATGTTTCCAATAAAAATTGCGTTTATATTAATTCATAAAAATTAAATTGAATAATTGAAATTTTTATAATTTATTTAATTATTAATTTTATTTAATTAATTATTAATTTTATTTATATTTTTTGTTTATTTAAAAAAAAATAAAATTTATTGGTTTTAAGTTTTAGCCTAAGCCAGTTTAGACCATATATTTTTTTGGAAAGAGTGAAAAAATTACAACAACAGTTTTCGACGTTAGAATTTTTAGCTTAGAAAATTTACCAAAATGAAATTTGTTACTTAAAAATAATAAATAAATGAGAAGAAAATATTCTTTTAATAAATCAAAAAATATGCACTTGAATTTTTTCGCCAAAATTACTTGCTGAAATATATATAATATATAGTTTTTAATATAATATATAATTTTAATTAAAAAAAAAGTTATGGGAAATAGATTTTGATGATATTTTAAATTAATTATTTGTTTTTTAAATTAAAAAAACTTGGAAAGATTTTTATGCTACGAGATAAATATGAAAATAAAAAAATTCTAAATAAATTAATTGATTTTTAAACATATAACTAAATATTAACTCATTATTAGATAATAAATTTAAAATTCAGTTCAACTTTTGAAATTTTTTAAACTTCTTCGTCATATTGGTACTTTGATTTGTTACTTCAAAAAAAAATTAATTAGAAAAAATTATTTTTTTATTAAATTAAAAAAAATATTTTTAGAACTAGTTTACAAATTAAATTCGTTTAATCTAATTTTTCTTAAAAAAATTATAATTTGGAACACTATAATTTGGTTAAAAGTTATTGAAAACAGATTTTTATGTTATTTAAAATAATTATTTATTCTTTTGTTAAACAAAAAATTGATTTCTTTAAACAAAAAGTGAAAAAAATTTAAATAACAAATTAATTAAATGAATTAATTAATTGATTTTTGGTTAAAAGCTTTGCGAAATAGATTTTGAATGTTATTTATTTATTTATTTATTTATTTATTTATTTATTTATTTATTTATTTATTTATTTATTTATTTATTTATTTATTTATTTATTTATTTCTTTTAAAAAATAGCAATTGTAATGAAATTATTTTGGGTATAATAAAAAAATTTTAATTTATTTTAAATATTAAAATAAAACTAAATTAAACTTTTGGCATTTTTTATTACTTATGCCTTTAAGAGGCATTTAATTTAAATTTAAAAAATAATAATTTAAATGTCAAAAAAAAAATTTGAGCTATTTTACATAAAATATTTATTTATTTTATTAAGCATTATTTTTAATTAATTTGCTTCAATGTTAAAACAAAAAAAATTAAATTAGTTAAAATTTATTTGATTTTATTTGGTTTTATTTACATTTTTATATTTATGTTTATTAATTATATACATACATATATGGCCTTTTTATTTCGGCTCCTTCATTTATTTAATTATTATATAATATTTTTTTTCCATTAAAAATCAAAATATTATTTAAAATAGTTTTTTTATTTAATTTATATTTATTTGTTTTTGTTTTTTTTTAATTAAATTTCAAGTTTATTTGCCTTAAAAAAAGAAATCTCAAAAAAGTGCCACCTTAATTAAATCTTTATTTCTCTCCCTCTCCAGCCTACCCCGGCAAATGCTACATCAGCAGCGAACTCATACTGTCGCCCGGTCAAACCGGCAAGGCGCCGAACAATCCCTGCGCAAGCATCAAGTGCTTGGACAGCGGAAATGTCGAGTTTACAACGTAAGTAAAGAAATTCAAGCCACAAATAATTCACCTATAAATAACATATGTATGTATGCGAGCAAATATTAAATCGATTTTCGAAAACTTTCCACTTTTTCACTTCCAGCTGCCCCGCTGTGGCGCCACCAAAAGGCTGCAAGCAACGTGACTTCGTCAACGCCAAGCGACCATATCCCGATTGCTGTGAACGTGCCTACGATTGTACGCGCAGCTTTTAAGCGCCGAAGTGCAAGTACAAAGAGGAGCAGGAGAACAAAAGGAAACACGAAAAAAATTAAACTAAAAAAAATTATAATAATAAAATTTAGTAAAATATAAATCATCAAACTACGAAGCGCATTAAACACAATCGTAAATCTCGCATTGTGTAAACCATGAATAGGAAGTATAAGACAAGGAAGAAGAAAAAGAAAACCCCCATTGTCAATCGTATCATCGTCGCCATCATTCAACGGCACTCACAACACTACATACTGTCAACAACGTCATTTAGCCATTTAGCCATTTTTCTGTGCTTCCTCATTGCCGTCGTCCATTCTTGCGTTGAGTTGAGTTCAGCTAAGGTGTGTGCGTACGCAACACGCCCTGCCTTGATCGGCGCCAGAACAACGCACGTATACCAACTACAACACTTCAGTCCATACAATCTCAAACACACCCATCTAAACGCACACATACATACATACATGCATACTGCGCATGCGCATCCATTTATGTAGACACACACACCCAAACTCACACATTTACTAAAGTACAACGTACGTCGAACTACACCGGCTCCAGCTGCAGCTACCAACTGAACTGCTTTGTTTACGTTGGCGCAGATGTCTGTCTGTCTGCAGCCCAGCCCAGCGCAGCCCGGGTCAGTCAGCTTAGTCAGCTTGTTGGTACTCAGCCCAGCTGAGCCGGCTGGAGAACCAGCATTATCCCTGCCATTCGTTTCTAGTGACTTCCGTGGCGATTTATAGGCAATTAAATGTCAGTTTAACTGCGCAGTCACCAGTCACTTTACTAGAAATAATTTAAGAAAAATAATGTTTTAGTTTCTTTTCATTTTTGTTTCGTTGCTACTCAGTTTTATTTAATCAAAAAAAGTACTCATCTTGCATTCTTTGGTTACGGTGTTTTAGTTTTTTTTTATTTAAATTTTTATTATTTCTAATTTTTTGAAATTTTCGAAAATCCTTTTTATAATTATTTTCTCATTTTTAAGTTTTTTTTTTAAATTATTATTTATTATTAATTAATTTTAATTTTAATTAATATTAATCTTTTAATATTTTTTCGGTTTCGCATTTTTTAAATTAATTTTTTTTTTTAATTCTAAATTTATTTTTGTTGAATTTTTCTTAATTTTCGTTAAGTTTTAGTTAAAATTTTTACATATTTTTTTCATTAGTTTCTCCATTTTCATATCTAAAATATATGTTTGTTTGTATGTTTAATTTTAATTTAATTTTATTTTCTTATAAATCATATTTTAACAATAAATTTTTCGTAAATTTTAATTTAATCTTAAATTATTTCATAAATCATATTTTATTATTAATTTTTTATAATTTGTTAGCATTTAAATTTTGTATAAATTATTTGAATTTTAATTTTTTTATAATTTATTTGCATTTAAACTTTTTAGAATTTATTGTTTTTCATTTTGTTTTAATTTATTTGAATTTTAATTTTTTTTCTTCATTAATTATGTTTTAATTGAAATTTTTTTGTATTTCATTAATTTATTTCTTAATTTTCATTGTTTGTCATTTTAATACATTTTTTGGATATTTTAAAATTATTTTTTATGCACTTTAATATTTTTTGTTCACATTTTAATTCAATTTTTCTTTAATTTTTTATAATTATTTGATTTTATTACATTCCATTATGCGCACATTTATTAGTCTTTTTTAACATATTTTTGTCTCGTATGTCACACACACACATATATATTTCATTAAAAAAAAAAAAAGTTTATAATAAATAATGTTAAATTTTAATTTAAAAAAATGTTTACTTTTCTTATGGGCGGAGGAGAGGGTTTGCCGATTGCTGCTCTTTACTGAAACAGTAATTACCGAAAGATGGCGCTTTGAACAGTAAGGCAATGTTTTCACTTACTTGGTCCAGACTCCATATCCACGCTTAAAGGCATGCCTACCATAAGAGGCGACTAAAATCAAAGAATTCACCCCACAGTCGGGTCAAGAATTTTCACTATCGCAACATTCCCAAAAGAATTACTTTGGGGAATATTTTTGCAACTACAACAACAACAGAACCGCTTCCCTTAGGACTTCGATGGTATTCAATAGTTATACTTGCCCCTAAACGATTTCTAGCAAGCGGATACAACAACGAATCAAAGTAATTCTTTCGCTTCGGCTCACCTTACACAACTTTGACAAATTCAAAGACTTTGTGAAGTCTTCGTCTTCGCACAAAAATACTTTCTTCAATTAAAAAATTTGTTTTTGAGTTAAATCTGTTTCTAAATATTTTTAATGGAATTCTGGAAATAAATGTTGGTATCAAAAAATGCTCCGACTAGCTTAACATACATACATATATGCGGAATATATATAATATTATAATACTGATTGTTTATATTTATTTAAATAATTCTGTAGGGAATTGGGAGGGAAATTCAACTTTAAAAGTACTACGTTGTGCGGCTTCCTCCTCAGCGGCAATGGCAGCGTTAATGAAATCCCTTTTAGGAACGGTTAATCAAAACAAAAAATATATATATATTAGTTATATAAGTAGTTAAAAAGAAAAACGAAACTTACTCTTCATCTTCCAACGTTATATTAATACGGCCTGTGGAAATTTGTGTTGGACGTATTGAGCCAAAGAAATCGGTAATGGGCACTTTATTGGGATCACGTCTATAAAGATCTTTGCGTACGCCAACCGTGGAAATGCAAACACGTTTTGGACAGACTTGCAGCTAAAAAGTCGAAAAGTGGTTGGGGAAATAAGTGAAGAATATTAGTTTAAGACCAGAGAAGGCTGCTTATACATATATATCAGCGTAAGATGTGTTACTTACAAATTCGCCCATACTCTTTTTGCTATTCGGTTGTACACGCTCCAAAAACTCCAGAGCGTAGTAGGTGTAACGATCAATCATATAAACACCAATCGATTGATCCACGTGATGCTGGGATAAATAATAAGAACCATATATTTTGTTATATATTTATGTTTAAAAAAAATATGTAACACCAACCGATAGCGAATCCTCGCCCACCAAACTACTTGCCACAGCCAGCACATTCGGCGAGGTGAATTTCTCGTACAACGACGCCGCCTGACAAGTATCTACCATGAAGAATAGTTCATTATAACTGTAAAGCATACAAGTTTTTTATGTTATAATTAAATTCTCCTCACTACATCTTCAATCCACCCCTCACCGTTTCTTCTCCCACATCTGCTCAACAGCATCGGCCAGCTCTTGACTGGTAATCTCTTCGGAATCTTGAAATTTCAAGAAACCATCACCACCATGACCCGTCAAATAGATCAACACATTACTACCGGCATCGGTGAGTAATTTCTTCGAGCGTGCTGTACCATTTTGTGTACGTCCAGTAAGTAGGCGTACAAAATTCTCCACTGTAACTTCATAACCACGATAATCAACTTCCACATCATCACCATAAACATTTATATGTTGTTTAGCATTATTATACACCTGACCGGGTCTTGGATTACGTGCATTGCACGCCATATCATCGGCTAACATGAGTATAATTTGTGAATCTGGTATGCCGAGACGTTTCACTGAACGATATATGCTCAGCACATTGGCCACATGACGATAGTTAAACCAAAAGCGTGATGCATCCACAAGTACAGCCCAGTTGTTGGTGTGCGTGGAGCGTTGCACGGATTCAACATACTTTTCGGGAAGTTGGTTGTTTTGCTAAAAGGTAAGTAAATAAAAAGTTTTGTAACTGCATTTTTTCTTTACAAACTTACTTCCTGTCCAGCGATTTGTGTGTAAATGCAAAATAGCATGCTAAGCAAGAGTAACGTCTGCCGCGAGATACGCATTTTCTTTTTTAATTTGATGTGAATTAAGAATTAAATTACTAAACACTTATTAGACAAATTATTGCTTTTCTAGTTTATTTTTTTACAACAAAACGCTCGATCAGCTGTTTTGAAAACATTGCGCTATTTCTGACAGCCGGTCTGCACAGAGAACGTAAAATTTTAGAACGTATATGCGCTCCGCACAGAGTGCTGTAAGTTGAATGCTTGATGATGATGGTTTATGCATGTGATATACAGGGTGTATGATATAAGTGAAATCTTATTACATCATTATTAGCGTCATATGCACAAATTAGCTTTATTTATATATGTACATCAAAACAATAAATTTATTAAAATTGTAATTAAACAAAACGTAATATTCATATGAGCGCACATATCATCTTTCATATATTTACCTGAGAGAAGCATTTCGCATCACAACATTTTGTCATCACATCATCACATCATCATCACCATATCAAATCGCCCAATGGCGCGAAAGAAACGCTTTTTATATGGAAAATTATGCACAAACCTTCATAGCAACATATATATGTACATATATATTTGAATATGAGTATTTTCGCTACGTAATGGCGTATGCATTCACAGCATTATGTCATAACTTTATGACATCGCATCATCATCACTATATCAAATCGCATGACATGCCCAATAGCAATGAACCAAACGCTTTTTATATAGAAAATAATGCATAAACCTACATAGTAACATAAAAATATGTGTATATGAGCTTTTTTTATAGCCGATACTTTTGTACATACTAACATACATATACACAGTATGTCAAATGTCAAATGAATATAAAATGTCATGTGATCTCAAGGTGATCAGCTGATCATGTGACTTACATTTTATAAACAATATTATTGAAAACTTCAAATGTTTTTCATTGCGACTTTGTAAGACAAAAATGAAAACGTAAATATTATTTTTTATTTCACAAATTTGATAAGTTTTTGATTTTTTTTTTAATATATAATTTAAAGCAGTGCCAAATTTGCTGGTAAAAAGTGATAATTAAAGAAAAATACATAATAAAAGAAAAAAAATAATAAGAATAAAATGAAAATGTTTAAAAATAAATTACTGCATAATGAATGAATTTTGGGCACCAACTCGATGTATTGTTTAAATAAATTCCTCCGTTATTTATTTATTTTTTTTTTTTGTGTGCATAAGCTGAAAGAAGAATCAAAAAAAATGTTTGTCATCAAATTTCACCTACATTTGATATTTCTTGTTCATCTTCTTCTGCATAGCGCGTGTCTTAATGCCCTCCGGGGCTATGTAAGAGGCCGGAAAGACTCTCACTTCGCACCTTTTTTCCCCAAAAATGCAATTTTCACTTCAAAACAGATGGAGAGCCTTAGACTTTGGATGCTTACGCTACTTACTCACATGGGCGACGCCTCACTTACATTATGAGATGCTGTAGAGCCGATGGAAGTTAAGTTCTTAGGAAAGGAAGAGCCGTTGTGAAAAGAGAGCCAACCACATTAAAAATCTGCCCCAAAGAAAAATAAGAAATGCATCCTCCTATGAGACGAACCCTCAATTTGAACGTATGCACCTGGAATGTGCGGTCCATTAATAGGGAAAGTGGTGCTGCGTTGGAGGGGCCAAGGATGGAGAAAGATAGGATCTTGAGAAATTTATGACAGTTCACGGAGCTCAAATTCGGTGCTGAATTTATAGTTCGACAAAGACTGCAGCGGCGTTTCCTGGCATCCACCACGGTGGATGAACGTCTCGCCGCAATCGGCATCAAAATGACTGAATTATTCAAGGTCACGTTAATTTCCAAAGGAATTGAGGGACCAAACATGCTTTCTATGAGAATTTGGAAGGCATCAATCAGCGCGCTCATGACCACCAAGAGCACCCTTCGCGATTAACAAACTGGTCTTGGTGTTTTTCGTACCAGGCTACTTTCCTCATCTATCTTCCCTACAACAGTCGGAAAATTCAGCCTCCACTAAAAACGGACTGAGGCTGATTGACTTCACCTGGGTCCGTAATATGGTTGTGCAAATAAAAGTCAAGCTATATAAGCCGCCCATCTTTGCCGTCCTACTATATGGTCCAGAGATTTAGACGTTAAAAACCTCGGAAGAATCAGCATTAGGAGCTTTCGAGTTAAACGTGCTGGAGTTTAGGTTGGATGCCGCAGATTTCATTTGACAAGATACTGAGCCATGTCAAACTGAACCAAGAAACCCAACTGAATAACCTGATATAGTCTCTTTTGAAGGATCGTAACTACAGGCGGCCGCTATAGTCGCGTGGTGAGAACTGCGTACCGCCATTCTGAATGCCAGGGTTTGACAAATCGCTCGACCAACATCCAAAGTTATAGAATAGCAGCAGCAATCCTTCCGAGTGTAATTCTGACATGAAATAAAGGCTCCTCATAAAACACCATCAGCCGTTCGGAGGCAGCTCAGAAGAAACGGTAGATTGGAAGCGGAGCTCGGCCGAAAATCAATTCAGCGTTTACAAAGCGCCAATTAGAGAGAAAGTACAAGCCGAAAAGTACTGATCTGAGCTGGAAAAGTGGAAGTTTGATGCTCTGTGGTATTCAGCTCATGGCATTTGAACTTTAACCCAGATCAAGGAGAAGATTTTGGGACTATAACTAATTCTTTTTGGTAGCTCCGTCGCAAGTATAGACTGCGATGGAGACTTTCAAAGCCAACTACGCTCCCTGCTTGATTCCAACTCAGTCTCTTGCACAGAATTACAGCCAAAGTTATATTCCCCCCCGACGGCGTGTAGAAGTAGCGATCTCAACGAGACATCCACAAAATAATGAAGACTTTTCTCAATGTTTACACACTTCACATATGATATATTTAAAGAGAGCTCAATCCGTACCTTACAAATATTTAACACAAACATTAAAAATACAAAAATTCAGCAATTAGTGATTGATTAATACATTTCGACAAAAAATTTATAAGAAAAAACATTCCATTTCCTATCTTCACTGCTCCTTGGCATCGAGTGCACCCTGTAGACCGGCTGCACTCAAATGCGGCGAAAACATCTGCCAAATATGCGCTTGATACAGGCGAGTTTCATTATTCAAACCGCCATCGCAAATCAAATGGCGAGCACAACACTCTTGGAAGGGCGCGTCTACATTCACATAATCGCCCCACTCGCAGCCGTCCGGAGCGCCAATGGAGCCGCAACTGAAAGTAAATGTGTGGGTAAATGAAAGTTCATTAGTTGGGCTATAGTTCTATATATGAAAAGTCAATCACCGCCACACTCACCCAGTGATCGTGGCATCACCCTGCGCCGTGTCGCAATGTATTTCGGCGCAATCTTCTGGTGATTTCACCTTCTCGCCGGGTGAAATGATGAGAGTTTCGCTGATTGTGCATTTACCGGGGTTCGCTGGCGAGTAAAATATTAATAGATTTAAAAAAAATATATTCCAGCAGCCAAACTCACCGACATCAAGGTAATTTCCCAGTGCCTGCCAAGCGAACACCTGTCCACCCGCACTAAGGCAGAGTAGCACCGCAAATAGCAGCAAAACTTTAAGACCACAACTCATCGTGGACCGAACTCACTGTCAGCAAGCGAGAACGCTTCTAACAAAGTGCTGGAAGCGACTGAATTTGGTTAAGATTTGTGGGCCGCTAAAAAGCTATTGCCAATATGAGCTCAGTAAATGTGGCAATAACCAAAATAAACAACATATGTGATTGGTTATGTGGGTTTGTGTGATTCTCGTAGACCGGTTTGAGCGCACTGCAACAGTTACAGAGTTGCCAAGTATCTGGAATATAAGCCCTTGAATTTACCTTCGCTGGATTATAGGAATATTCGGATTCAAAACAGACGGTCTGGGCAGAACAAAGCCTCTAATTGCGGTCGCCTCTCGGCGGGAGATTACTAGGTCTCCGCGTGTATTTCTGAAATGAGAGCAAAAGCTTCCCATTAAAAACTATCAGCCATTCGGAGGCGGCTGAGAGTAATCAATGGGTTCCTCAAAGTGTTGAAAGAGCATCAATGCAAAGTGCAGAAGAAATGAGGACTTGTGAGTAATATTTTGCCAGAGAGAGTAAAAACTATTCTTCTCTAAGAGTATATGCTGATTTTTTAGGAATGAAGTGTTGATTTTGGAAGAAAAGGTTTCAGATGTGGAATTTACATATACTAAATGCTTTCTTGGAAGGAACGTAGAATAGTGTCTATACAGAAGCTGTCCAAAGCGGATCTGCTCTACTCGGTTCTTAATTCTTTAATTTACATAATGGAGAAGGTATTCTGCAAATAATCTTCTATCTATCTTTCTAGCCATCCTACTAATAACCTTCATAAGCACATTAGGGAATATCAATACTTCGAAACATTCTTATCACGGTGTGGCCACATGTCAGGTGGATCGAGAAGGATCTTTCGGAGCTTCAATCGAAAATAGAGTAAATTTAAAGGCAGTATTGAGCTCTACCGCAATAATATTAATTTCTCAGAAGTAGATTTGAGGAGGCTTTGAATCCATACTAGACTTTGAATCAACCATCAACAATTTCAGAGGTCCCTTCCTTCTGGGACTTACTCAAATGGGGTATCTTATATTACGCGGGTTAGAACCAAAAAGGAGCTAAGAAAACGATTTTTTTTTGCTGACTAAGGAGTAATGAACTCATTTCCATCTAGTCATCTTCACTTTACTGAACTCGCCAATCTCTTATAGAAATTGACTCATCTTTATGTGCACGAAATTGCCTTTTATAAAAAGTTAACAATTCCTACGTTATAAATATTTGAAAAGAATATATAATAAATAAAAAATAAATAGAACAACATTTTTCTGCCATCAACATTTTCTTTTGGCAACTCTGTCGCTCGGAGAGCTAACATATGGGTTTGCTCACCACACCAGCGGAAGAGTCAAAGCGCTGCAGCGCCAATGAAAACAAAAGTATACTGTGGGCGGCAATGATTTCTAGTATTTTTAGGTATTACGAGTATATGTATGTATGTATGTATATAGATGATTGTTTATATTGTATTTTCCATAAATAATATTATTTCGGGTTTTTAATATTTAAAGTATAAAAAGTTAAGTGCAAATCTTCTTTTAATGCCTAATCCGTAATGCATACGCGCCTACAAATAAATTACATAAACACACATTACACAAACATGTGTATGCGTGCATGTGTGAGTGAATGTGTATCTAATGCATTATATCAGCTACACTGACGATTAGTCAACAGTTTTAACCAAAAAAGCGAAAAAAAAGAAAACAAAAAAAATTATATAAAAAATGTAAATAAAATATAAAATTTATAAAAATTAAATAAAAATAAAAATAAATAAAGTAAAACATACTAATAAAATAAAAAATAAAATACGAAAAATCAAATGAGGAAAAACATTATAGTATAAATAAAAAATTAAGAAAACTGAAATAAAGTAAGAAAAATAAGGAAACCAAAAAATTATCCGAAGTATTAAAAAAATAAATCTAATTAAAATACAATAAAATAAAATAAAAATAAAATCCAATGAGGTAATCTAAAGAAAAATATAAATAAAATGAACTAAAATAAGGTAAAATTAAATTAAATTATATAAATAAAAAAGAAATAAAAATAAGTTAAAAGAATAAAATCGAAAAATAAAATAGTATAATATAAGAAAAAATATAATAATAAAACAATATATTCAAAAAAAAAATTAAATAATATAAAATAATATTAATAAAAAAATTAATTAATAAAAAATCAAAGTGATTCAAAAAAAATTAAGAAAGCAAGACAAAATAAAATAAAGCAAAAAAATTAATAAAAAATTTTAAGCAAAATAAAATAGAATGAAATAAAATGAAATTAAGTAAAATTAAATTAAATTACTTTTAACTACATTAAATTAAATAAAATTGAATAAAATAAAATAAAATAAAATAAAATAAAATAAAATAAAATAAAATAAAATAAAATAAAATAAAATAAAATAAAATAAAATAAAATAAAATAAAGCAAAATAAGATAATTTAATGAATGAATGAAATGAAAATACTAAATGAAAAAATATAATAAATAAAATAAAATAAATTAAAATTGTCTAAAGTAAAAGTGGTTAAATTAAATAAAGCAAAGCAAAATAACATTAAATGAAATAAAAAAATAGGATGAAATAGAATAGAATAAAACAGAGTAAAATAAAAAAAGGTTTATTTTGAAATAAAATAATACAAATAAAAAAATAGAATAAAATGAGATAACATAAAATAAAATGAAATAAAAGAAAAAAATTGAATAAAATAAAAAAATATAAAATAACATAAAACATGATAAAAAAAATAAAATAGAATAAAATAATATAAAAATTAATATAATAACACAATAAAAAATATTCAATAATTAATTAAATAATATAAAATAACATTCAATAAAAGAATTAAATACTATAAAAAATTAAATAATATAGGATGAAATAAAATAAATTAACTAAAATAATATCAAATATAATAAAATAAAGCAAAAAAAAAAAACGAGATAATAAAATACAGAGTAAAAAAATAAATAAAATAAGAAGTAGAATAAAATAAAATAATATAAAAGCAAATAACATGACAATTCATAATTATTATAATTAATAATAATTAAATAAAAAATAAAATAGTTAAAAAAGAAAATGAAATCGAAAAGCTAAATCAAATAAATTAAAATAAAATTAAATTAAATTTAACGAAATAAAATAGAATAAAAGAGTAAAATGAAACATGAAACATGAAAGGAAAATAATATAAAATAAAGCAAAATGAAATAACAAAAATTAAAAAAACATAAAATAAAAAATAAATAAAATAAAATAAAATGAAATAAAAAAATAGAATAAATAAAATAAAATAAAATATAAAATAAAATAATAAAATAAAATAATATAATAAATCGTGTTGTAATTGTCAACTTTCGGGCATGATTATTACAACCACATATTCTTAATGATGTGAATAATTAATTAGGATATTCATTTGTTATTTCCAATGAATATACTTAAATTCACGCTTATATATGTATAAGAAATATAAATGTAGATAAAACAAAAATTCAAAAGTGTCGTGATGTTAGAAAACAAACCAGCAGCCAACAATAACTAATTGATTTTAAAATCCCTGAAATATGTAAACAAAACAATATTTGTGTACATAACCAAGCAGAGAATTGTGGCAGCTAAAGATTGGTCCAAAATGGGCTACCTAGAGTATAACACTAACTCTGAATAGTGAAAATGAATAGTGGAATTAACGACAAATTTATGTTGATTGAAAATTGAGTTGATTAAATAATATAGATCGTGTTAAAACAGTCAAATTAAAGTTAATATTATTTTAGCTTTTTTATGATATTAATTTCGTTACGAATAAGTGCTTAATTGCTCCAAAAAAGCTAATTAAATGCCTGTGTGAACAGCTTTACTTTTTTAATATTACAAATTAGAAACAACACATTTTCAATACGTTTTCTAGTGAATAATTGCATTACTGTGGCGAATTTCAGTTCCTTCGTCGTACCAGCAGGAGCATCAACTAGTGCATTTTAAGTTCATTTCGCACTAGTTCGGCGTGGAGCAAATATTTTGCAATTTGCAAGTAAATTTTGCCTCAGCGTTTATCTGTGAGAGTCCATGTACGATTGTATATATGTAAAAATGCTTTAAAATTGTATACAAATCGTTATAAATAAATCGAACGCACTCTCTGTAAATGTTTTTGTTTGAGCGCAGAAGTGTTTGGCGTGATCAGTGAGTACTCAGCGCTTCGGGTGCGACACTCCAAGCGTTGGCGTTTCCACTTTCACTCAGTAAGGTTTATATTTGGAGATTCCCAAAAGGTCTGATGTAAACATATGTGCATTTGTGTATCTTTTAGGAAAGAAAAATGTTTTTTTTCCAAATGCATATTACACACATATGTACATATGTAATATTTATTGCATATGCATATTATTGTATGTGCGCTTGATCTTTTATATTTAATTTGACATTCAGCGAGTTTGGCACAGTTCAGTCGCTGCCTTTGCTTTGGAAAAAGCACACACGAAAAATAAAAAATATTTTTGAAATAAAATGCAGTTGAAATTCAGTATTTTCGGCTCATTTGCAGTATTGCTGCTCTGTATTGGCAATGGATCACTGGCGGATGCTTGGGTGGCACGCGGCAATTACTATAATGCTGGTGAGTGTGTCAAGAAATATAAAATAATTGTTCACTAAATATACATTTGTTAGAAATTTTTAAAAAATATTTGAATAATTTTGGTCATGATTTGTTTTTTTTTTTTCTTACAATTTCTCTAACAACAGCGCATCCCGGCAAGTGCGTAATCAGCGACACAATCATCATCTCACCCGGAGAGTCGGTGAAGTCTCCTACATCGTGTTCGCAAATTCATTGTGCCAATGAGAAAGGTGATGCCAGGATTGTTGGGTGAGTTAAAGAAAATTGGAGAAAAATTTTAAAATTTTACGTGAGCCTCAAAAAAGTACTTCGGCTCGATAAGTAAAAGTACGTAATAAATTAGTTGACCGTTAAAAGCAGAGAAAACGCAACACCACCACCCTGTTTGAAAGATCAGGCGGAGCAGGATCTGACCTCACTTGATATCCCCTTTTCTTGTTAAAGAACATACGATTGTCTCACTATTGCTGTCTCACCTATAATCACGTAAGCTGAGGCTGACTGGCGAGTTGCCCTTAGTTTGAATATATATTCTTGAACAAAAAGAAAGTGTCGGAACTATTAAAAGAGTAATCAAGAGAATCCATTGATGAGTTCATAGAGGATCTCAGAAAAAACAAGAGAAAGATATAAACAAAGGAGGAGGTCATTAAATGCGAGAACCTTTCACATTTTATTCATTTACTCTCTAATGAATTCTTTTTCAGAAATTCTATATGAAAATGTTTACGTCTCATAAAAAATAGTTTTAAAAACCACTAAATTGTTTCCAATAAGACTCCTCTTGTCTGCAAAAGAATGCTTGAACCTTCTCTAGCTGTGAGAAAATATAATTGGCTTCCGTACGAGTTTTGTAGTTCCTGCTAACAGAGATCATCAATTTATACATCATATTTCGACTAACCACCTGAGAACTTAAGATATGTCGCATGGGACAAATCTGATAATAAATACTTATTCATTTCTTCACTTGCAGTTGTGGCGCTATTCTACCACCGGATGGTTGCAAATGGGGCGAACATGTAAATAGGAATGCACCATTTAAGGAGTGTTGTGCTCGCCATTTGATATGCGAAGGTGGTTTGACCAAAGAAATGGAATTGTACCAACAAAATACTTGGGAAATGTTTTCGCCTAACTTTAAGAATTCTTTGTAAACAACAAGAAGATTAGAAGCTCAACAATTTTGGTGCGACGGATTATTTTGTATTAAGTTTTATTTATTTTATATTAATTTAGTCAAACGAAACAAAACAAAATGAAATAAAATAAAATAAAATCAAACAAAGTAAAGTAAAATTAAATAAAATAAATTAGAATAAAATAAAACAAAATAAAACTAAATTAAATTAAACTAAAATAAAATCAAATAAAATAAAATAAATTAAAATAAAATAAAATAAAATAAAAATAAAATTAAATAAAATAAAAAAAATAAAATAATATAAAATAAAATAAAATAAATAAAAATAAAATAAAATAAAATAAAATAAAATAAAATGAAATTAAAAATATTTAAATAAAGTAAATAAATTGTAGTTACTTTATTTTTTTTTAAGTAGCGAGTTACACTGTTCTCGTTGGCACAGAGGTTAAGAGCTACATCAACTTTCCAGAAAAGCTTAGCTTTTCTTGTTTTCGTGTTTATGTTAGAACAAAAGATAGTACTCAGACCTAAAATACCGGCAACTTGATTTTTTTCTCTGTAAAATGTTTATTGATTTGATTTCGGGTTTCTCTTTTGCTTGAGACGAGTTAGCATGATAAATAAGTATGTATATGTCTGGTACTGTTTCTAGAGAGAGACACATTTCAAGTAGCGGAAAAATTGGCTCGATTTTATCGCGGAGGCTTAAGAATACGACTTCGGTGACCAATAACCACATAGAACTCTAAATTTTTGCTATGATTTAAGGTTCAGGTATTAAGACTACAGCAACAATAATAGTAAAGTGTATAGACTTTAAGTTATAATTGCATACCTTAACCTCAAAAGCGAATTGAAAGACACCTTCGAATGTAATTAACATCGACTTAATGAATGAATGAATTAATCATTTCCTTTCCACAAAAAGTCGTTATATTGATAAAAAGAAAACATTAATTTCACCTTAAACTTGTGAGACACTTTTTTCTATTGCGGCTAACCATAAATCATATTTCCTTAGGCAAAAGGGTAAGAAACATGAAAACAACAAATCGAAGAAACTCAATAAACAACTGGAAAATTCACAAAATTCAATTTCCTTGACAGAGTTAAGAGCAAACGCGAAAAGTGGAAATATGCGCAAAATGAAAAATTGAAAGAAACGAAAGTGGAAAGACCTCGATCAACAAGTAGACAACAAGCCAACCCACAAATATTGTGTGCGACAAAGGGTGGCCCATTTGTGGGAAGGCAAACAAATCAGTAGACAGTAGTAAGGACAACACTGAGCGTGGATACATGGAAGACTAGATATTTGAGTTGTGCACGAATTGTGTCATTGGGTGTGCGGTTAAGAAATTTCAATGTCAAGTTGAGTAAAGTGAAGAGCCAATAAGAAATCTTTGAATTTGTTTCAACATTTTCGACTACAGTTTTTCATCCTTGACGATATTAGTAGAGATTGTTGCAAGCGTATTTCGGTATGAGTAAATAAATATTGGTGCGAGAAATGAACTTGAAGTTCGCGGAATAACCAAACATATTTTCAGCAAATAGTTTACCATATTATGATAAAAAAAAAATTAAACGAAAAAGTAACAAAATAATGCAGGTAAGGAAGTATTCTTTTCTTGCTCACTTTACACTTTTCCTGCTCATGCACATTTTTTTTTTTTGTCCACCAAGGAAACAAATGTCTCTTTGCCTTCAATATCATCTATCAATTTTGCTGATAGAACTTCTTTGAACAAACGCCTTAATATAAAGTTTTTGTGGATTTTTGTACAAGTAAATAAATGGGAAGAGTGGCTGCAGATATGCGATCTGCGATCATAAACTCAGACTTTCTTATACATTTTATTAAGTCACTTGAGTTTAGTTTCTGTTATAGAACTGCAATTTGTCTGCTTCTGCCTTGAGTAGCTCAATCGCTTAAGTGGTGGATCACTGTCTCTGGCTGCTCTTCTCATCTGCAGTTCTTGCAGCATTTTCTGTAAGCAGACACAAGGCCTCCTACATGTCGTCCCATAAGGTAATGATTTATCAGGATTCCAGTTACTTTTGAACTTCGACTTTCTCTGATGAAATTAAGTTCTGTTTCCAACACTGTCTGTAGTCTGTATATAAAAGTTCCCCTTTAGTAGCAGTTTGGTTGTGTCTAGAATCAAGCCAATATCTGCCTGTTCGCACCTTGCGTAGCAAATTCATCTGCCCTTTTATGTGTCACTGTGTTTAGGGATCCAAATGACCTTTTCTTCTTATTTTTGTTGATACCAATGTGCTCCAGTCACGTCATTTTGGCATCAGACGTTCGGAGAATCTTGGTTCATAAACTGTTAATAAGCTGTGTAACATGGTGCTCCCTCCATCTTGTCCTGCTGAAACCAAGAACCGTCAAAACTTTCATTTTTACCCATTTGAAAATAGAATAATGAACCAATATCCACCCATATCGATTTCCATTGACAGTTTGGCGCAAACACCTGTCTGAGTAGTCACCTATCTGTCATGCAAACGGGTTTCATGGACCTCAAATAACTTTGCTGTTCTCCAAATGCGGTAATTTTTCATCATCCATCAGAATTTATCTCCTGAACTAAAAACACAGTGCAGCCTATTCGAGTTACTGTTTGACCGTATTCCAAGCGTCGTTGACGGTCGCTCTATTTTATCTCTTTTTACATAATTACACTTTTTATGGAAAATAATTCAAATCATTAATCGCATTACTCTTGTGAATTTCGGGTAGCGCACTTTCAGACAGTTTCAATTAGTTCATTCGAGCATCTTGATGGCTAATAAATGGCATTTTGTGGATTTCTTCCCCTCTCAATGAAATTCGACATCAAACCAAGAATTCTTTCTCATACGGTGCCTGCTGGCTTAAACTAGATCCGATCACTCTTCGCCTCATTGTGGCGCTTTAGCTGTTCCATCGTTGCGTTTAGCAACTTCTTCTTCTTCTTCTTTCTAGCCGGTGATAGTGTCCTCATTTTTATTCCTTAAAAATTTAGAATAGAATTTATGCTCTCCATTTTATCCAGCTACTATCTGGTGTAGATCCTCATTTTCTTTCACTGCTCTCGATTTACTTCCACAAACAATTCGAAATTCACTAAACACTTACAAACGCGACTTTTATTAATTTATTTCATTTATATTACACTTTGCACTATTTGTTCACTTTTAAATCGTAATTAAATTAATGAATATTCAGTAATTAGTGAATTAAAGCAACCAAATTCTAATATTAAACTCACCCAAGCCACGCAACGTCAACAATACCGCTGTGCAGGGTGCGTCATGTGATTTTTTTTCGCAGCTGTTGTTATACTTTTAGCTGGTGTGTGATTAATTAAAATTTCACGCTACACACTTTTTACGCACATTTTCTTTTCGTTGACAATATTTATTTTTCTTTTGTAAAATTTGTATTTCCCCCCTCCCCCCTGAAAATTTGTGTTAGATGTACTCAGCTGACTTATGTTGTAATCCTGTGGCTAAGGAAAAAAAATTAATACGATAAATGAAAGAAAGCGTGAAATGAAAAGAAACAAAGCAGGAAAGCTTCAAAAGTAAACGCTGTTAATTAAAATTAACGAAGCCAGAACAAAAGCCATAGGTTAACAGAAACTCGCTCACAAGCTTTGTGCGGTGGAATAAAGACTTTTTTTTTTAGTTGAAGGATACATAGAAATGCAAATTACTTCGGCTTCTTCGGTTCGGGAAAGTAAAAACTGTGAAGAGCGTGCAAAAAAAAAAAATCATGAAAAAATGTTATTTAAATAAATTGACATAACTAACATGAAGCATGACGCTGCTTTGTATAATTTAAGGATATTAATGTCAGAAAGCTTAAATTGAAGTTTTGTAAAAAAATAAATTGGAAAACTTTAAATTTTTTTTTTTAAGAAACGAAAGCTAAAATAGTCCAAAAAGTGTGTCTTTTGGTAAATTAATATCGCAAGGCCATCAACGTTTAAGAAGAATAAAATATATAAAAAAATGTCCTTAAAGCAAAATTAAAGAAAATTTGTTACACATTTTTGATAGAAGCGAGAATTAGTTAAAAATGTCATTATATATCTGTAATTATATTAAAGTATTCAAAAAAATGTTAATGTAAGCAACATATTAAACTTAATTCAAACACTTATTAATTTAACACTTACTATTCTTTCATAAGAACCCCCCTGTGCCGACGCACGCAGCTCAAACGGAAGCATGGTTTACCAATTCAATTCAAAACAGCTGATCATTGCTATTTAATTCGGCGGCGGAAAGCATTTCGATGGGTGTGCATTAAAATTTTTGCTGTTTAAATGAAGAAAATACAAATTTGGCTATAAGTAGTGATTAGTGTAAATATGTGCAAGTGAAATTTAGTGAAAACAATAATTCAGCAGTGGAATACTAGTAACTGCAGTAGCAGTCGAAAGCTAACAAACAAAAGCAACAAAACTAATGTGACAACTTGGCTTCTGAAAAAATAAACTAAATTATTTTGCCTAATTGGCGTCTTCATTGCGAACATAAAATAGTATCTTAAGAGGCGAAAATACATTTCCATACATTATTGCCGTATTATTTTTATATAAATGCTGTCATTAGTGTTTTTTTATGCATTGAGTAGGCAATTAATTAGCATTTTGGCGTAATAACTACTTTTTGGTGTTTTAAGTTTTTAATTGATATGTTAGTGGGTCATAATAGCTTTGTGTGGGCAAGTGATTGAATAAGAACGATATAACAAATTTTAGCAAATTTTAATATTATGAAATTTTATTTTTTTAAGAAAAATTAATTAAAAAGAAATTAAAAAACTAATTAAAAGAAAAGAAATTTATTGTAAGAGAGCTATGAGTTTTGAAACTCAATTTAATAAGGTCTTTGGGGTTTAACTTATTGAACAAAATAGTTGAGTAGTGTCGAGTGAGAAAGCTGTGCACACTGCAGTTCATTAGCGATTTTTAGAAAATTAAGCAGGAAATGTCCTTTGGAATTTGCTATTCGCACGCACAACTTCTTATATCATTTTTCGATACATAGATTACTAAAAAATAATACTTTCTGAAAAGAATTAAGAAATTTCGAGCCAGCGAGCCCGCTACAGCCAGCAAACTTGAGTATTTAAAGAGCTTTTGGGTGAAGATGCTATGAGATAAGGGATTTTTTACTTTATTATACAAAATTCTAATGTATCCACACATTCATTTTCAGCACGCTCAAATGAACTAAATCATTATCTACTACACAAACTTTTTCGCCCGCACCAAGATAAGTATTTCATTAACAACTTTTATACGAGAGTGCCAAATCAACTTACTACTTACAGCAGACTACATACAAACATATTTTTACTAATTTATATACTCTCTTCATCCATTTTGATATAGTGGGTGACACAGCATTGCTAATCGAGTCATGCACTTTGTCACATAATCTCTAATTACTTTATTACCTTTTCAATCAAACTTTACCATTAAATATAATATTACTTTTCCTCACCCCTTATGGGTGTGTGAATGTCAAGCTCAGCCTCGGAAGCTCACACCTTTGTTTTTGCGTGATAAATAGTTGTGTTGATAGCGAATGGAAGTGGAAAATAAAATAAAAACTCAGATGATGCGTTCTGCGTAACGGAAATGAAAATGAAATGGCATTTAATAGTCCTAATAAGCTCTTGTTGATATTGGTGAGTATTGAGTTTTACAGGTTTTGTTATTTACTATTAATATTTCTAAGTGTTCTTAATTCAATAATTTCTGAAGTGGCATATAGCTTAGAGTATATCCTTATTATATCTAGTTGTATGTATCAGATGTATCACTAACATCTGAAGTGTTATAAAGGCTGGTGTAGAGATTTTCTGTGGCAAGTAGAGTGTCTGAAAAGATCAGGTGAGGAAATAGAAATGAATGAAATAAGAAAGAGAGGGACAGAGAAGTGTTATTATATACTGACATGCCCGTTGGGAAAGGGCTGATGTCATTAAAGGTTAAAACAGCTTTAGTCGTATGCCCCAACATTGTTATTTTCGGGGCTCCCTTTGGGGATATATAAGAATTAACTTATATGTCGTTGATTAATACGGAAAAATCCTAAAGTCGATATGGGATTAAGAAAAAGCATGGCATTTCTAACTATTTACCCGAAACTGTATTGAAGTTTTGTCTGAAATTAGATAAAATCACGTAGAACATTAACAAATTAAATTTACGAAAGATTTTTGCGTGCACATTTATGTATGTAGATAAGAATGTAAAGCACCAATTATGTTTGTATGTATGAGCATTTACACTGAGTATACATATAAATATATTATATAATTAGATTTCTGGCTACTTTTTGTTTAGCCGTTGCTTACAAGTTTCATATTATATATATATATATATATATATATATATATAATTAACCACATATCTATGTGCTTCATGTAGGCTATTCTTGGAATTCCATGTATACAATTTTAGTACACGCAAACCACCTACCTATCGTAGTTATATAATTTATTGACACATGCTTCAGGTCAATTAATTAAATCAATCGTTTGGTAATTTAATGGAAGAACCCCCCCTTCAACTTCACTTTGTTGGAGATAAAGAAGTTTGATGAAAGAAAAAATATACCATAGAAAAAAGAGAAATTGAAAGAAAATAAATATAACAAAAAAGTCTCAATAAAATAAAATTTTTTGAAGTGAAATAAAATAAATGAAACAAATAAAATAAAAATAAAATAAAGTAAAAGAAAATAAAATAAAATACAATAAAATAAAATAAAATAAAAAAAAAACAAATATAAAAAAAAATATTAAATTATATAAAATAAAATGAAAATAACATAAATGAATCAAATGAAATAGAAATAAAATTAATTTATTATTAATCAAATAAAGAAATAATATACACTAAAATTAAAGAAAATAGACTGAAATAAAGTAAAATAAAATAAAATAAAATAAAATAAAATAAAATAAACAAAAATAAAATAAAATAAAATAAAAGAAAATAAAAGAAAGTAAAATAAATAAATATCCTTAAGATGTAGCTCTTTAGTTTGTTGACAATCTCTCTCTTAGCAAACTGTTGCATTTGAAAATCCATTTCTCTCTCTTTCTAAACAACAACAAATAAAGCTAAGTTCGAAGGTTAGCCCACCATGAACTACAAGATAAGAAACTATGTAAGCTTGACCGACAAATTCTCATAGAACTGGCCGTAAAGGGCATTGTGTCACCCACCGGCCACCCAATGCTGTTGCGCAACTAAACTTCGTAACAGTAAAATGTTGGAGCTGAACAGCAGTCTGCACTTATAAATAACACAAGCAACTGTTTAGGAGCTTCAGTTGCTGTTAAACTCGCACCGATAACGGTTCTACAATATTATAACGGGAAACGGTATATTTGTGTGAAAATTTTGTGCTTACTTTTAAATATTTAATGGAAATTTAATAAAAAAAACTTAACTACAAATGAATTAAAAATAAAAAATTTGTAAAAAAATAAAAGAAAAATATAAATTATGTATAAAATGTGTATCGAAAATTATTGAAAAAGAAAATTGTTATATTATATTATAAAAAAAAAAGAAGAAACTATATATACAAAAGTTCAAACAGCTAAAAATCCCGTCATTAAAAACTTTACCTCCAATTTAATGCGCAACAAAAACTGAAAATACAAAAAAAAAAATAATACTGCAAAAGGAAAAATACTGTAAAAAATCTATCCTTCTCCAGTTAGCTGCTTTTGTGTACGTTTTTTTTTCAACTCTTTCACTTTCGTTTTTTATTTCTTTTGATGTGTACTCTCCTACAGCTGGTTGTTCGTTCGCCACAGTAATTAGTGCAGCAATTAACGGTCTAGTCAAAGCTTAGATAGCAGACATAATTCAATGTTGCTGATAACAGTGTTTTCCTGGTAAAGTGCTTGTCGGTGTGTGTAATTATCGCACACATACACACATTAACATATGAAACTACATATTATTATATAAAGATATATACTGTGAAGGCGTGCGAAGGAAGCGTGAAATAATTTTCAGTAGCAAAAAAATGCAATAAAAAAATTTGCGTGTATTTGTGTGTGTTCCACTGATTCAAACAAAGCGTAAATAAATAATAAATAATTATTACGGTAACTAAATCGATAAGCAATGTTTTGAGATAAAAAGAAATCTTTTTGTTTATTTTTTTTGGTTTTTTTTTTTTTTTTGTTTGAAGGAAAGTCTAGCTGCTGCTGGTGCTCTTGGGAAGTGAGTGGGCACATTTTTTTTTATACATATATATATGAAAATTATTGGTAATTTTTCATTAATGATATTTACGTATTTTGTTTCGCTTCAGAGTATTTTTGTTTAATTTTTTTCTCTGATTTTTGGCTCTCTTTTGATATTTTTTCATTATTTACTATTTTTTCCCCACTTCATAATCATAGCAATCTCTTGAGTGAAAATAAAAAGAAGAAAAGAGGCATTTGAAGTTAGTTAATTGGTACTCAAATTGATAAAAAATCATTTAAAAATTTTTTTTTGCCTTTAAAAATTAAATTACTTTTTGTTAAACACTTATGTCAATTATCTCGTTGAGTAGCGACGTCACGTGAAAGTGAGAAACACGCCCCCGAAACCCTTAAGTTGTATAAATTCAATCTTCTTTCCTTAGCATGAAATTAAATAACCGCCACTGTAGCCGAGTTAGCGCCACAAGTCAGAGTTGATGGCAGCAAGTCCGGCCTGACCAGCCCAAAACTAATTGATTAGCACTCTTCCTAGGTTTTACTGTAAAAACATCATTAATATTAAACATTTTTGAGCTAGCCGCGGTTTCAGATTCCAATCCTGGTTTAGACCTGGTTAATCACATATTGATCAGATATTAATATTGGAAAAGATCCGTGAAAAGAGGATTGACACACACCACTACTTCGTCGATTTTATAGCAGCTTGTAACCGTTGAAGCGATTTTTCGGCCGAGCTCCTACTCCATTTTGTAGTTTAGCGCCTTGAAAATTTTCCGAAAGATGGAGGAACCTACAATTTATACAAAGCCACCTCCGAACGGCCGATGGTTTTTTTATGAGGAGCCTTTATTTCATGCCAAAAATACAGCCCAAAGGGTTGAGATTCCCTGCCGAAGGGCAACCGCAAATGGAAAATTTAAACTAATTTTCGTTAACTTTTGGGTGTTGGTCGGATCAGAATTAAAACCCGGCTCAGCCGAATGGCAGAATGCAATGCTAACCACTCGGCTAACGCGACTGCCGAAATTATACGGCTGTGTAAACTGACTGACTGAGCAAGACCAAAAGCTCTGTCAGACTCGGAAAGGACCTCTGTGCGCCATTTCATACCAAATTAGATTTCAGTGAAGGTGTTTCCTTATCGTGTGATTGTATGGATAAGGTATGATTTTCTATAAGAGCTTAAAGCTGCTGCGGTACGCCTATGATATTGACATCAGTGGCCTCAATAACTATGCTATCTCCAGTTTGCAAAAGGAAGTGAAGGATATGGGTTTGGTAGCGAACGAGTGCAAGCCGATATACCCCCTGCCATCAAACAAACAGACTTCACACTAGCGACTCGGCTCCCACGTCACTGATAACAGTCATAACCTTGAAGTCGTAGATAATTTCATCTAGCTAGGAACCAGTATTAACAACAATAACAATATCAGTCTGGAAATCCAATCACTCTTGCTAACAGTTGCTACTTTGGACTGAGTAGGCAATTGAAAAGTGAAGTCCTTTCTCGATGAACAAAGCCAAATCGTGCGTTCCCGTCCTACCTATATGGTGAGGAGACATGGACGATGACAAAATCTGATAAGTCGGCTTTAGGAGTTTTCGAGGGAAAGATTTATGGTTCTCTACGAGTTGGCAACGGCTAATATCGCCGCTGATGGAATGATGAGCTGTATGAGATACAAATTTTCATAGTTCAGCGTAATATGAAACGCTGACCAGGTCTTGTGGTCCGGATGGATATCTATATTGCAGTTTTCAAAGCTTTCCATGCAGTGGTACTAGCTGTGGGACGCAGACAAAGAGGAAGGCCTCCACTGTTTTGAAAATACCGGGTAGAGGAGGATCTGACTGTTCTTGGCATTTCCAATTAGCGCCAAATACCAAAGCGGTGTCTACGTCAAAGAAAAACAAATATAAATTCTCCATTTCAAATTTGCAATAAATTTTCAAAAATTCAATTATTATCCTCTTCTACTTAACTCTTCTTCTTGCTTATCATTTCTTTTGTAAAAGACATTGCCATTTAATTTGAATTTTTTTTTTATACATTTTTCTATCATATCATATACATATACATATCTCTCTCAATATAAATATTTATTTTGTTAATTAATTTTAGAATTTTGATTTTGAAATATCATATCAAAAGCTTTTCTCCAACAATAACAACAAAAACAATTATTATCAAATATCATACTTTCTCTCTAATAACAGCAATTATTTAACAACTCAACAGAGACACACAATACCAAAAAAAAAAAACAAAAACAAAAACAACAGCAACAACAGCAATGGGAAAATTATTATAAAATGCTGGAAATATTTTGATTTTATCTCAATTTTATCGTCAACAATTTGCCAAGTGACGCCCTTGAATATCCTGGCATACTAGTTGCATATACATACATATATACATATATATGTGTATACAAAACTTTTATTTGTGGGCGTAAATCCATCAAGATCAAACCTATGATTATGTTGAAGTGCCGACAAAAGATTATTATTGTGATAAAATGCGATGGCAGATAGTCCGATGGTAGACACCTGAAGGATGCACTTTTAAATCTGCTTGTGTGTGTGTATGTGTGTTAGTTTTCCCCATTCCCTAGAAGGACACAGTTAACAGAATGTGTGTTTACCCAGGAGTTCCAAGAATTCTACGGAGCACCCACTCGGTCGAGCCAAAGCGCTCAAGTAAATTCCCATCGTCAGAAATGAAGTGATCCCTGCATAGTCTCACCTGGAGACAGTGTAATGGGAGGAATATTCATCCCGCAACACTCGTAATTATTTAATATCGTGCTTCATTTCCGAACTCCTTCTAGAGCCACTAAGCGCGATGAATACATTTATGGGTATCATTTAACGCCAGCTTCCCTACTCCTAAACATCTTCTGCCTCCTACCGACAGAGTTGAGTATTAGAACCATACTGAATGGGATGCATTCGAAGCTCTTAATTTTGTTTGAAATAATCTTTTTCTTCACTGCTTTATAGCAGAAACAAAACTGTTCAGGATGGTCTTCTGCCTAATATTCAATTCGTGCTCTGTGTTGAAAGCTTTGTGGTGTCTATTTCTTACTTCCAAAAAGGCTTTGTCCATAAACCTGATCTTCATTTTGCTTGGCTGCAAAGAGTGGGTATCCTCCTGTTATATCGTCTTAATAACTCTCCTTAAAAGCTTGATAAACAAATTGTCCGTTGTACTCACTCCACAACTCTCTCGACAGCTTACAGTCGCTACATTGATCTGAACATCAGCCAAGTCGAGCGTGAACAAAATCTTGACTACTTTTTTATAGCTCAGTGAAGATAAGAACTGGGTAACTAGTTGATACTCAGGGATTGATGGATTTGGTTTCAATATATAAAAGGAAGGGTTCTCTATTATTTAGCTACCGGGTTTTTAACCGTGCTGTTACAGTTAATATGTGGCCCCCGAGTCCATCGAACTATCCCGTGCCATCCTCTTAATCTTTTCCGAGCTCAAAGTGAGTATTTGTTGTCTGGTTGCTTAGGTTGGTTGGGCTAGGGCATCTAACTGCCTAAGGGGTCGCGCTCCAAAACCATTGAAAGTTAAAGGAATTATAATTACATACCAGCCATAGTGCGTGTATAGTGATTGGATTCCGATTACTCACTGGTCGATGGGTAGTCATTTGATAACAATCTCCTTCAGGAGGAGGGCTCTATCGCTGTAGGTGCTTTTTACTTCGGTTTACCCTGCGAGACTTGGCTTGAAACATCTTACTTGATTCACGTACAGCGTTGTATTAGGCTTAGCTTGGGTGACCCCAGCAAATCTTTCCATTTTACGATGAATTTTTTCAGAGATTCGTTAGAAGTCTACAGTAATTCGCAGTGATTGATGAAAGTCAGATCGGACGTTGGCTCTCCTTCCTTAAAACTGTGGTTCTTTTTGAGAATGTGGAAATACCTCGACCTCAAGGGGTCTGTTTTCCGCAAAGGTTAAAACATTAGCTGATAAAATTTCTGTTCACACTTTTGATCGGCGAGCCGATGACCTTTAGAGCCGTTGGTTCCTTGCATTATATCTATGAAGACAGGTAGTTGTGGTTCTACTGTGGAAGCTCCATAGTTTTCCTTTCACTGAGGTTGTAACCTAATTTAAAAATATTTTTTGGATAAGGGTTTCATAGGAAGTCTTAAGGTCTATAATACTCACAAGTGGTTATCAGACATTATTCCGACGGCTCAGTTGAAAATCATAGTTTTTTTTTTTTTTTTGGACAAGAGACTACATACAGTCCTATTTTTCCGTAAAGGCTACATCACCAACCTCAGGATTTAACCCGAATACGCAGAATCAATTGTCATTAGAGTCGCTCGCAAAAGATATCTGAAAACAAGGCGAAGTGGTTGGAGATTTGGAGATCAGCACTACAGCCCTTTTGCAGCTAAAATCATACAACTTGGGACCTCAATCAAAGCCAACAGAGCGAGCTCCGCGTGAAAACTTTCGATTCGGTTGGAGAGGCTACA